CAAGTCGCTGCTGCAGCTGGCCGCCCAGCCCCCTGAGGGTTTAGACGCGGGGGACCGAGTGGGTGGCACAACTCCCGTCACGTCCCAACGCGACCTGCGCGATCAGCCAGTCATGGAGGAACCGGAGGGAGAGGCGGAGACGGCCTCTGAGGCAAAATCCGATTCTGAAACGGAATCAGATAATGAAAAACAGCCGCAACAGCAACCACCGCAACCCACGTAAGTTAGACGCACTTATGACTTTTAACGGGGCTCGATTCAGCCCTTTGTGTGCAGTGTTCATCGGTAGCTAAAGTGGTAATAACCTGTTGACTGTTTAGTTCACCAAATTTTCCATATTTTAGGCAACTTTCGCCCATTTCAGAAAGTCCGGAGAAAGAAGTGGGTGCGTTTTAATTGTTTAATCAAGAAAGCCTTAAAACCTCTATCAGAAATCATAATCTTGTTTACTCTACTACCATTGTAAGTTTGGTTTTTATTTGATTGTTAAAAGCCTAGGCCTTAGCTAGCACGCCAATATTATCTTCACTTTTCAAGATGCTGTTCCTTTCCCACTTACTAATGTGGCTTTAACTAAGACATTTAAGTTTACTACAGCTTGTCAGGTCGGATGTTTGTTAAGTGAACTTGGTAGTTTCATGTCGCCCTGTTAATTAGGCCTACGTGGCATTAGCTCTCAGTTGATTAAAGTAAAATTACTATAACAAAAGATGGCAATGTTTTAAAAGTGCTGATGATTCAATGATCTGACTTCAGTTGTGTTCAGAACCTGCACAGTTAGGGTTTAACGTCGGATAAAGGCAAGATGTACACGATTTGGATAAAGTACAATTTAAGGGATATCACCCCTCGGTCGTGCAAACAACAAACTTGGCACGTGCGTGTGTCTTTGACCCTCACAGAGACTTCAACTGCTACTTTCTTGAGTCTGTTCATGTGACTGAAGGCAGCGACAAGTTCTTAGTGTTGATTTTATTAAATTGTAACAAAAATGATCGTGTCACGAAGGGTATCAAGCACAAGGCCTCTCATTGGATCCTGTCGCATTGCATGCACACTTGGTGTTAGCTGTTGAATTTAGGACCCGTGAAACGAGTCGACTTAAACACGTAGGGTGAACTAGGTGAATGTGTGTGGCAGTCAAAGGTAAACGTTAGAGAATGTCTCTGGCGTCGGTTGGACAGGGTGGTGGAGCGACATCCTACAGCTCTTCCGGTGGCCGCTGTGCATTTTCACGGCCAGGCTAGACTGGACAAGCTCTAAAATCACGGTTGAAGGTGGAGGGGGTGCTAAGACTAGTGATTTTTGGTGATTTCTAGTCCAATTTAGACGGTGATTTTGCGTAGTGAAGGTGCCTTGTAATGGTTGTTTGGTTATGTCTTTTGCATTCGTTATTGCACAAGTACAGCACGGAACTGCTGCAATTTCGGGGAAAGACAGATGTGTCAAATTCGGAGGCAATTTTATGGCGTGGTAAAGTTTGTGGAACCGAAAATTGTTCCCGTTGTGCTGTTAGGGAGAGGACCAACCATGTTCGAACGAGTGCGGCGCTTTATGTTA